GAGAGAGAGAGAGAGAGAGAAGAGGACAAAACGAGGAGAAAGAAGGGGATTGCGTGCAGACGTCACCGCCTGTCACGACAGCCCTCCTGGTCTGCCCGTTGGGAGGGGCTGAGAGAACTCTGGCTGTAAAGCCGTCCACTCGCCGTGCACTCGAGCCGTATAAAGGAGCTAAGGTGGACACTGTGAAGTCTGCGGCCGGCCGGCCAGCCGGAAGGAAGGCGTGGGGCCGGAACTAGTTATGTTCCCCGTTCACCAGGGCCTTCTCGCGTACATCTGCGAAGAACAAAACGAGAGAGAGAGAAGGGCGAAAAACGGAAATGTAAAGAGCAACGATTACGGTACACGGAAAAAAAAATTCCTGCAGCTAAACATTAGCTGGGACAGCTTCTGTGCTAGTAGCTGGCAGCGTGATAGCAAATGTATTTTGCTCGTGGAACATAAGCATTTGGTTTTACAGCCTTTATGTAAGATAGGAGAAACAAAGGACGACTTTGGTTTCGGTAGCTAAATGCCCTTTAGTTCACAGAACTAAACTATTCTTCTTTGGGTTTGCTAAGGCGTTGTGACCAGCAGCTAACCAGCCTGAAAAAGAGACATATCATCTAAACTAGCTTTAAGATTCGCTCCGTGAAATAATCTTCGGTCACCACCGGTCACCAACCAAGCTTATCAAGTGTTGATTAGGGCAGCCTACGTCTGGCCTAGACCAGCAAAGTTTATTAGCTGCAAGGACTAATGCACAAACTTGAAGTTTGGTTTTTGAAAGTCCCCCCTTGCTCGCCCTTGCTTGCTTACGCTATCCATCCCAGTCTCATCGCGCGCAGTGGCTCAGTGCCTCCGAGTTGGCGCGCCGCAAAGCAGAAGGACGGGTTCAACACCCACTCAGGTCGTTCCTAACTGGTTCTCGGAAAAAGTGCAGAATTGTGAGACATCACCAGCAGGTGTAAATAGTAAACAGTAATCAAAAATTGAAAAATATTTTTCAAAAAAAATCAAATATTTTGCATTAGTCGTTACAGCTTATGCGGATTATCTCTGGTAGCTCACGCTTAGCTCGCACAGCTGACGCCTTGGCTCTTACAGGTTAGCCATTTGCTGTCACGCTGCCAGCTAACTAATTTAGCTACCACACCTTACTTATTTTTTTTCCGTGTAGTGTATACTAATATGGAGATATTTGCAGCAATGTAAACCACGAGAGAAACTTATAAGGGTAGCAGTGAAATTTCTCTTAATTCAGGGTGGTCCATAGGCCCCTTTCTTTATTTTATGCCTACACTGTACCGCATGCAGGCATGCGGGAGGGCTTGCCTGCCGTCGCTCACCACGGCGCCTTACGGCCCCGTGAGAGTATGCAACCCGTCCGCACGCCTGCATACGGTACAGTATAAGCAAAATAAAGGAAGAAGCCTGTAGATCACCCTGTGTGTGTAGTAAAATTACAATTTAACAAGTCAATAAAAAATTACAATTTAAAAACAATCGCACTCTGCATCGACTTTGAATTCATCGCCGAGCAAGAGTGGGCGGGCAGTCGCAAATTGACAACATGCTTAGTAAAATCAAAAATACAAAAGCAACATATGCTGTAAATTTACAAATATATTTTTCACAACCACACTGGGGAAAAAATGTCCATGAAATAAACCGTAATAATGGCAACCTCCCAACACATGTCATAGTATAGTAACGAGACACTACACGTTTCACAGAGTGCTTTGAAATCAAAACGTCTTCTAAAGAAGGAGCCCCTTCAACCTAGTGACAAGGGGGAACACGGGCCCCGGAGGAGCTCCGCCCGCAGGTCGCTCCCGGCCCGCGCCCCTCCGCGCCTCTCCGACTTTACAGACAAAACTGCCGCTTCCCTTTGGTCTCCTCGGCATGAATGCACGCAAGGCGATGTGCCGCGTGGAGGCTTTGAGACTCGCCTGAGACTTGTCATCAGGTGCGCGCCGCCCGCCTTTGTGCCGTCATTCGCCGGGGCAGCCGGAGCGCTTACCGGCGTGGCGCTATAGCCGCGAGCGCGCGGCGGGCACAGCGGCAAATAGAGAAAGAGGAAACGGGATATGCGAGTAAATTGCAAAAATAAATAATGCAAAATCACGCGCCTATTTTTTCTCTCTCTCCCTCGCTCTATCTCGTTCTCTTGGCTTGCATAACGAAGTTCGGCCGAGCTGAGTTGGACCCATGACCCATGTCATGTCATGTCATGACGTCTGACGTCTTTAAGGGTGCTACTATGAGAGAAGGGCGCCCTAGACTCCAGGCGCGGGTGAGGATACGAGCGCTCTCCTCTACCCCTCTATTACAATGGCTAGCCATAGCATAGCTATATAGCTCTAAGAAACCAACTGAGAGGTAAGCATTTCCGGGCGTTTCGCTGTAAAAAATCCCTGTTCTATCGCAGGAGGCAGGAAGACTTCCGCGACCCCAGTCCAGTCGGTTAGCCAAAGGCCGTGTTTACTACACGGTGCGATCGAATTTCATGCTTTAGCACTTGCAGTGCTAAGTACGAATGGGAAATAACTCCGGGAATCATGTGTACATCTGCCTGGGAATCATCAGGATAAAATTTACTCAAAATCAACAGAAATCGCTTTAAATAAGCGGGAACTTAGTTGAACTCGTTCAAATTAGTCGAATTAAGCGTTTTCCACCACTAGAAAACCTAAGAAATGAACATTAGTGGACGGGAATCACTGGGAATCAAGGATTTCGGGAATCATATGTACACATCCAAAGGGAGTTATTGCCCCCTCGGCCCTCTGCTAAGTATTGAAAAGGCTCGAGCTGGAACCTCTAAGTATTCCCTCTGTGTTTGGCTGGGCTAGGGTATACAGCCTTCAATTTCGTACGGCTTGCTTCTGGATAAGAAAGGCACACATGCGGGCGACCTTGACTGTCACTTCCCCTTCTATGCCTCTCTCTCACATCCATCTATTATGCCTTAACCTTGCCTTTAACAATGCCAATAACACATACGCAGACACACACACACACACACACACACGCGCGCGCGCGCGCGCGCGCAGCGCACACGGCGCCTCACGGCGTGCCCACTGTTGGCATCCCTCCAACAGTATCTAAGCGATTCGGCGGCGTAAACCGGAACTAGCGTGGCGTGGCGTAGCGGGGAGTGGCAGGGCGCAGCGAGGAGGGCCATGTCGCTGGCAGTAAACGGGGACCTATTTGGCGTGGGGCGCATCGCCCTGCCGTGTCCTTCTTTTGCACATAAAAAGAGAAAAGTGGACACATTGTCCTCCCGTGCGCTGGCTCCGCGGATGGTGAGAGGGAAATGAAGAGGGTGGTGGTAGTAGTGGTGAGGGAAGCAACAAAAAAAGGGAAAGAAAAGCACAGAGGGAGGAGGAGGAAGGGAGCAGCGGGGCCGGGCAAGAGGTCAGCGAACAGCAGACAATAACCCCCGGAGGCGGACGCGGATGGCAAACATTTCAAGAATCTGGCCGTCTAGTAGAGTCCGGGGCTGGGGGCTGGCTTGTGTCTGATGGTGCACCACAGAAGAGGACAAACAAATGTCTACAAAACGATATTGGAGAAAGACAATACGAGAGCAGGGAAAAGAGGGGAAAAAAGGGAAGCGTCAAGTTTGATGTGGCAGACGCCTCTCCCTCTCTCTCGCGCATTTTAATGTTTTGTCAAAAAAACAAAAAACACAAGGAAACAAACAAATAAATTGAGGGGACGCAATATCAAGCCGATGGCACGGTCCGCTTACTTTCCATCGGTGTGGTCGGGCCGGTGGTGGCGGGACTACCGCAGGGCTTTCAGAGCCC